TCACACCTAAGATGCTGCTAGGCAAATAATAATTTTTAGTCCTGTATTACCAAGACAGACGGTGGAAGAGATAGAAAGAGAACACCCCCTTCCAGAACCACGTCTTCCAGCTCAGTTCTTGGACCTCATCCGCCTCCAATTTCCATAGATATGGGCTGTGCACAGAGTGTGCCTGAGGCACCACTAACCTGAATTAACCTGAAATATTTTTTTAGTAACTTAAAGTTTTAGCAAATGGAGTAGTCATGGTTTGAAAAAATTACATGCAAGTAATCAGCAAAAAACATCCAGACAATTAAAAATGACAAACCAGCTTTAACAGAGTAGAACATGCCCAGTGTTAGCATGGTTGTGGAGGGTACAATGATATTCAGCTGGCTTCGGTGTTGTCAAAAGACAAAGGCATATGATAATATTAATACTGATAAAGAACAAAAGCCTGACAAGTGTAATCCTGATGCTGGTGTGTTTCCTTTGAGGATTACCCAGCAATTAAAGATTTCTAACAGTTAGTGTTACATTTCAAAAGGACAATGCCCTGAACCCCTAAGGAAATCATAAGCCATTCCAGATTCTTCTTGGTTTTCAACTTTTTAGAGAGAAAACAGACACGCACATTTAACTGTATTAATTAGACGAACAGCTTAACATCTAAAAATATTTAAAATATCTATTATTTCTAGAATATAAAGCATGACTTCTATGCAGAATTGGTGTGCTGCAGCACTGGCAGATGAGGATTCTTCTTCTGTAATTTATCACTCATGCTGCCCTGCATTAAAAGAAAGTGTTAGTGCACAAATGCCTTTCTGCACTTGTTTTGTCATTTTACCGCCCCAAAATGATTGGGTATAGTCCTACTAGTAAGAAGGGGCATTCTGGTTATTAAAGAGAAACAGAAAGGATCTTGAATTAACCAAAACATTGCTACAACTTTCCCACTCCGCAGGTCATTTTTGAAGGTCGACTGGTTTGCTGGTAAGACACTGCAGACAACAGCTTTATGAGGCAGGTGGCTACCAGTAAGTCTAGCTATAAACTATGTAAAAGCCCAACTTTTAAAAATATTTTAAGTTCAACAGCTGTCACCGAGGCCCCTAAGAACTGCCTGGCATTTAGTCATCTTACCAACACTGCAGCCATTCTGCAGGAACTCAATTAAGACAAAGTGTTGACTTGCATAAAAAGCTAATTGCATAAAAGGTTCTATCATGTCCAGACATTTGAAGGGAGCAGGCAGTACACAAATAACTTTTATTCAGCAGGAGATTATTCCGCAAGATAGCTCTGTTGGTTTTTTCCCTTCTCCTCACCCACTAGTGTCCTTCCAACAATGCAAAAAGCAAAAGAACACCCATCTCAACAGATGCTTGGAGTTGTGATCCTGCAACACATCTGGGACAACTTATTCAGTATGCTTTTACAACCTGCAAAATAACTGCCCCCGTCTCATCAGCGGTGCTAGGGACAACATTAAACGTCAAAGCCTCAGTCAGTTTGCCCGACATCGATAGGCATAACAAATAAACAAATGAAAAGGAATCCTCTTTGTCAGACAACGTGTTAATGAGATCAAGGTAACAAGAGTAAAAACTACAATTTGCAGCAGTTAACCAAGATCAGAACTAAAGCAGCAACATCAAGAAGAAAAAAATGACAGACTAATATAAGCATTTTAAGCAAATAACTTGATGAAGACAAGTCCTTTCACTCTAGCAACACACAGCGGGCTTTTCTGATTTCCTCTGGGGTCACCCGGGCATGGTAGAAACGACACTAGAAGAGTTACCCTTTAGCTTGCATAACAGTTTAATAATATGAACATTTCAACATTTTTCCACAAGTGCATCTGTAGCAACAGCACCAACAAATTAAAATATTCCCCGCCAAAACACATCGATTCATAGTCTCTAGAAAACAGGACATCCGTCAACTGTCTTTCAAGTAGTCAACTGTATTTCAAATGCAAGGGAATTATCTAACAGATTCATTATTGTCCTTTAAAAACTACCTGGAAGACTTTCCAGCAAGTTTTGACTTGACTTGACCAGATACAGCAACTGGAGTTGCCTATCGATAGGGTCAGCAGCAGCAAGCAGCTGGCAGCATCCCTCCAAAAAGGCTCCCAGGGAGCAGGGATCATTTTCCCCTGACATAACTACCCTTGACAGCTCTTCAAGTAACTACACCGGGAAGGCAAACTTTCATTTCTAATCTGTTCTTCTCCCCCTGAATTGACAGACCTCCAAAACAGATGCCATTGAGTCAGTATAAGGAACAAAACAGTTCGAGCCACAAGTTTAGCCTTGGGAGCACACACATATGCTTGAAAATTAACATCTTGTCTGAAATCCTTCATTTTTCAGTGCTTTTCTTCTGAAAGCAGAAATGGCAGATACTCATCTCTTATGCGTATGACACACAGTATTTTTAAAGTTCTGAAATAAAGGCAATAAACAAAAATACATCGACTACAAGACTCTTGTATTTTGTTAGTGCCCACAGTTCCGAAGGATGTGGGGGGTCTTGGAGGAGTTTCAGGGAGGAGCACGCCACCAGTTGACCAAAATACCAAGTACCAATACCAACTGCTAATTTCATTCCCTGCAAGCACCGAGAACCCTCCAATTACTTTACTTTGAGGTAAAAAACCCAACCCTCCAGCAGGCTTTTAAAGGTTTATAACAGATCCCGCAGAAGGGGATAAACAAATCTTTTTAAAAGGAAAAATGTCATTTTACTAATGCCCTCTCCAAAGAACGGCTACATTAATCTTGGCAATCTTTACAAATCCTCCCCCATGTTTTCAAAGACAGCCAGAGCATTGAGATTCGTTCAACAAATGGCAGCATGAGTCAGTGGGCCTGGGAGCTGTGGGTAGGAAGAAGTAGATGACGTCCACGGAGTCACAAAAGTCTTCAAAATGATTCATGTCATAACATGGATCCAGAAAAGTGACTTATGGTTTAGACACAAACTATATGGCTATTTCTGTATCCATGCCTAGGGACTCACCGGCAAACATGGCACTGTTACAGCAAACATATTCCAGCCCGTCCACCAAATCAACCTCCCTCTCTCCTCACCAGATAAACAGTTGAGCCAACACCAAATATTATGCCAAAACCAGCACTAGCATTTGTACAGCGAGGAAGAGTTTAGCCCATACGCTCCACTGTCACTCAAAACTGCTTTCAGAAAGTAGTAGAATAGCTCTGTTGTTTTAACCTGGGAGCTCTGCAAAACTCGAGAAGCTTGACAGTGAAGCTGCAGATCACTGTGGTGAAAGGAAAGCAGGGAAACGAGCAGGAAAATGCTTGTACGTGTCAAAACTGACAAACCCTTATTCACACACTAAAAGGCCCCATACCAGCATGATTAGTCACAAAAGATCTCAGCTTTTGTTCCTGTCAAACCATGTCATTTTACCTTTAACGAGGTATCCCAAAGAGGTAGCCCAAAAAAGAAAAACCAAGGAAATAAAATTTGTGAGCTTGCCTAGCACACTCAAGAATAGACCTGCTTCTCCAAACACAGTCCCCAGCCAACAAAACTCCTCAGCCAGAAGTAGCACTGATCTTGGGAAGATATCCTTAAATACTCTCCACATATAACTCAACAAATACGGTGCAATCACCAGTCCAGACCACCTTTGTCTTCTGCTGGAAGTATCACCAGAATTGCCTCTTGTACTCTATTGCAGTCACTTCTGAATGATACACAATTTATTTTAAAGTTACTAGACAAGTGGAAATGAGCTGTGAACACACTTTGAAAAGTTCAGAGACTTCCCCCTCCTTACAAGTAAACTTTTTAGTTCTCTCAAGAAAAACAACTCAGATGCTAGGTCAGTTCCCAGCCTCCCAGAGTACACGAGGCCTCTGCCATGAACACTTTACAATACCGATACCAGTCTGTGACCCCCCTGCCATCAGAGACAGCTAAGTCTCACATGTCGATGTTGTATTCCTGCCTCAGCTACAGAGACAGA